CTCACTCGACCCAGAGGGGCCTGGGAGAAAGCCCAGCAGCTTGGCCTCTGAACCTGGGGCCACTTTGAGTCAGAGTCCCCTCAATGGCAGCTGGTTTTTCATTCACTTTAAACCTGACTTCCTTCCCCATCTGCTCTCTCCATCCTGCCTGCTCCATCAGGGCCCGTCCCGGGCTGAGGGGGAGACTCCAGGCTGCGGGGACACCCTTTGAGAAACTTGAAAGGGCTTGCCCATTCTTGGCCTGCAATTCTCTGGCCCCTGGCAGCGACACCTGTGTTGGGCCGCTGCCTTTGTAGCTGCAGTTCCCCGCCTCCTCCCTAGAGCCCTTATCAAACGTCCTAGGATGGATTCTGGAACATGGTCATCAAAGATTCTATAGGAGAACCCTGAGCTCAGGAGAAGGCAGTGAGTAGCCCCTCAAGGATTACAAATTGTGGAAGATTCCCACGGAGACGGATCGGAACCTCTGAAGAGACTTCCCCCCCAACTCTGAGATCATCTTTAAACCTTACAGCTTAAAACTTTTCCAAAGTCTTCTTATCACCAAATGAGTAGTTTAGTTTAACCAGTAAAGAATGTCTGCCTTGATCACTGAGCTCTTTTAAGATCTATCCATGTGGGATCAGATTGACAACTGAAGTTCTAAAGACTAGGTAGAAAATTCCGGAGACAGTGAGGTGATGTTAGCGGGGGAGGGATAACCCCTTAAGGAATGAAATCAATATCCTTGAACTTTATGTGTTGAAACTATTGAATTGGGGTGGGGGTTGCTGCGTATTGTCTCAACAAGTCTGTTTTTAATCACACACATGCCAAAGTTCAGGGACAGGTCCTCATCCTTTATCCTGCCCTTTCCATCAACCCTGGAACCTTAGATATTGACGAGAGACATCCCAGGCCCACATCAAATCTCATCAAACCCCAGCTCAGAGCTGCAGGAAGCTCATCGCTTCCTGGACTTCAACATTCAACAGCCCTTCCATGCACCCCTTTGGGATCCTGGCAGTGGAATGTTTTATGTTATTTTTTCTGACAGATCATGGGCAATTTGTTGTTAATTTCCCCCGAGAACTGGTAAGTGGAGAGGCAGGCTGACTTCTGTCTCTTGCCCCGGAATGCCATCTGCCCACATAAGACAGGGCCATTAGGCAGAGGAAGCATCTCCCTGCGCCCACCGTCGGCCATCTGATTCATGCTGAAGGCTGGCTGCTTGCAAAGTCCTGGTGGCCACAACCTGCCACCCCCACCCCCACCACCACCCAAGACTGGCTGGGGGGCGCTGGAGCTAGATCTCTGATATGTTGGAGGAATGTCCAGTGGCGGTGGCACTCAGTCCCTAGTCTGTCGCCCTGCCTCTCACCTTGGCTCATGCAGCATGCCAGCTGCTGCCGTCAGGGTCCCCTGCCCTGCCTGTGGCCCCACCTTCTCATCTTACAAATAAGAAAACTTAGATGTGGCTTGTGGGGGCGGGGTTGGGGGTTGGGGAGGGGAGGTGGTGCAGGCTGGCCTGCTCAAGTTTCAAGGAACATGGTGGCAGAGCCAGAATTAGAAGCTGGTGCCCTCCACCCCACCAGCACCAGCCTCGAATTGCATGCTGAGCCCAGATCCCCTGGGCTTTAAGGCCATCATTCATTGGTCACAAGTTATTTCTCCTCCCTGAACTGTTTACTCCTCCATGCAGTGGGAATGACAACAGTGCTTGAAGGTCTAAGGGTTCTTGTTACGCCCTCTCTTCCTCGCAGTGGAGCCCCGGGGCAGCCGGGGCAGCCTGATCGGGGTGATCAATGGCCAGGAGTTTGGCGAGGCCACCTTCAACACTAGCGTGCTACGGGAAGCACGTGCTGGGACCACGACCATCCGGAGCAGCATCAGCCACCTCCCTGCAAGTGTGGGTAAGTGGAGGCAGGAGTGTCACCTGCACCTGGGCCACGGCCCTCCGCTAGATGCTGAGCCCAGGAGGGGGCAGCTTGCTAAGGGCCTGCTTCCAACACTGCAGCTTCTGAGCCCAAGCCAAGATGGACTTAGGTACGGGCAGCTTTCTCCCCACCCCGCCACCCCTCCAGCCGATTGAAAGACCTGGGTTTCAAATCAGCCCGAGAGCGTCAACGAGTCAAGCCTCTGGCCTCAGAGGTTAATGATTTCTGAAGCCGCTGATGGCTGGGGGCGCTTTTCTCCACGGTGACAAGCAAGGACTGATGACAAAGTAGAACTCGCCAGCCAGGATGGAGGCCTTGTGGGCGGAAGGGACCGGAGAGGGAGGAGGTGTCGGGAATAAAATTAGCTAGAAGACCCAGAGAACCAAGAAACGTCCACATGCGAGCAAATCCTTGAAAGGAAGCACGCACAGAAGGTGCTGGAGAGAGCTTCGCCATCTCGGCTCTTCCTGGGGCGTTACAGCAATCCAACGTAACGGACCTTGAAGTCTGGCCTTTCTCTGGGGGTCCTGAGTCTGATCTTGGGGGTCCAGAGCACAGAGGAAGGCAGTGCTGACTGGCTCTTTGCTAGAAGCAGCTCCTCTGAAGATGCCCTGGAGCACAGGCCTCTGTGAGCAGGGCCAGGTCAGGAACTTTGCCCAGGGCGTCGCTCCGAGCTGGCTGTCAGCAGAGAGTTAATGAAGCAGGATGCTTCCCAGACAGGGCTGGTTAGGGAGCAGGAGCCTTGAGGGAACATCGGGCGCCAGGCCGGGAGGCCCAGCTCTGTTTAGTGCAAGGGCGGCGCAGGCAGGTCGAGAAGGTTCTGCTCCATAAACACAGTCTCCTGCCACTTCTCTTCGGGGTTGACAGCTGTTGCAGCAGAGCTGAGAAGCTTGACTGACCTTGACCTTGAGCAAGCAGCATCTTTCCCTTCCCTAGTCCACGGTCCAGCCCAGCCCGGAGAGCAAGATGGCACCGCCGTGCGAATGAATGTCTGAGCAGCACTGTCAGGGGCAGTGGTTTGGCTCTAGGGGTCTGGACTGGTCCTGGAGCTTTTTCAGACAGTATCTACAATGTAGGAACGATGGTTGGACTTCAAGACGGTTCTGCGAAGATGTATTGAGGGCCCATGGGAGCCCAGGCTCCACAAAGACCCCATAGGCTCTCGATCGATATTTGCTGAATTGAGTTGACTATCCTTCACTGCCTTACATTAATCTTCGCGTTAAGACCATGGGGTGGCTCATGCCTTTGCCTTTTTCAGATTCCAGGTTACAGAGCAGGTAGGCGTGGGGCTGAATCTGGGCAGGGAGGGAAGGGGCTGATGTTCTCCTGGGACAATAGGGAGTCACAGAGGGTCCCGGAGCAGGAGGGTGACTGCCCTCGGGATACAGCCCTAACCTGGACCCCTGCCCTGCCTGCCCAGGGGCGCTGATGCGCATACTCATCGTGGCCATCTCTCCCGTCTACTGGACCCTGGCAGGAGAGAGTGGGGAGGCCCTGAATGGCCACTCCCTGACAGGTGGCAGCTTCCAGCAGGAGTCGCACGTGGAGTTTGCTACAGGTGAGCGGGGTCTTGCCCTAATAGGTAGGCCAGGTGGGTCAGGGGCCCCTCCCCCACAGTGACTGGATCGAGTGTGGCTTGCAGGGGAGCTGCTCACCATGACCCAGGTGGCTCAGGGTCTGGATGACAATGGCTTCCTCCTCCTGGACATGATGGTCAATGGCATCATCCCCGAGAGCCTGGCCGTCGAAGACCTTCACATGCAGGTGGGAGTCGGGCCTGTACCAGCCCTGGGGGTATGCAAATGGGGTGGGTGAGAGAGAGCAGGTGCCGGCCCCAGCCATGCCCCTGGCAGCTGCTCCCGCGTCCCTTCCTGGCCCTCCCTGTGGTCTGGCCCTGGCTGGCCTTGGGCTTGGGGAAGATCTAACAGCTTGGACCGGGAGAAGCCCGGGAGAAGATGGTCAGAGCCCAGACACTTACAGGTGTAGCGTTCTCCCCATTCCCTAATGGAAAACACAAGGGATAAGACTTGCCCAAGATCACCCAGCTGGTTGAAAGGAAAACTAAGAGAGCCATCCAGGCCACCCTGTCTAGCTCCTCCCACCCCAGGATCTCCGGTCTCACGGGGGTTGACATCCCAGCCATGTCCCCTGTCTGCCTCCTTGCCCAGGACTTCCAAGAACAGTATGTGCAGACAGGGCCTGGCCAGCTGTTTGTGGGCTCCACGCCGCACTTCCTGCACGGTGGCCGCCCCACGTTCCTGCACTGCAACCGCAGTATCCAGTACGACGCAGCGCGGGGGCCCCAGCCCCAGCTGGTGCAGCACCTGCGGGCCTCCGATGTGAGCACGGCCTTTGACCCTGAGGCCGAGGCCCTGTACTTCCAGCTGACCACAGCCCTGCAAGCTGGTGAGTCCCCGTCTTTGTCTCTACCTTTTCCATTCGCCCCCTTAGAAGCCTGCCAGGAGTCCTGTGCGCCCCTGGGTAGAAGCCACGGAGCCACCCCTCCCCCAACACACACACACACACACACACACACACACACATCCTGTGTCTGCTGATCAGAGACCCCTCGTGCTCAGGGACTGAGCTAGTGCATTGCCTGCTCCGTCTACATCCAGCCAGTCCCCCTGGGTGTCTTGCCACACCCTCAACACAGATAGCTCTTCATTGAGGTCGCTCCTGCACAAAACCCTGGGAGGGCTCTTCCCAGGCCCCAGGGTGGAGGTCCAACCACTCCCACCCAAGGTCTGCCTATAATTTGTGACTTTGAACGAGGGAGAGTGGTAAGCACACAGGCTTTAAGGTCAGGGAGACCTAATTTGGCTGTCTGCCCTACCACTTCCTGCTTGTGGAAGCTTGGAGACATGCTAGCCCTCTCTGAGCCTGCGTCTTCACCTGCACAATGGCCATGACGTTGCCTGCTTTGCAGCGTGTTAGGAGTACCGGTTCTCCCTCTAAAACACTAGCCTGGCCTCGGAGAATGCTTTAAAAGGGTGACTCTCCCTGCAGTTGCTTAGGGAGTCTTGTCTCCCTTCCTGGCTCCAGAACACATCTCTCCTTGTGCCCATCTTTGATCTTGCTATCCTCGGCGGAGGTCACCCCTTCCTCAAGCCCTCCCTGCCCAGCCATGGGGTCCAGTGCTCTTGGGAGGTCTCACCAGCACACGGTGAGAACTAGCCCCCATAGCAGGCCTGGGTCAGGAATGGGCTCACTGCCCTCTGGGGTGTCCAGGCTGACTCAGGGAGGTGTTGGACCATGCTCTTCCCATCCCGCTTGGGGACCACGGTCTGCTGTGATCCAGGGTGAGGGCCCCTGTGGTCCTGAGGCCTCCTCCCTTTGTCTTGCAGAGGAGAATGAAGTGGGCTGCCCAGAGGGCTTTGAGCCGGACTTCCAGGGAGCATTTTGTATGGGTAAGTGTCCTTCCTCCCACCCCGGTGGGGACATATGAGATGTCTCTCTCTCTCTCTCTCTCTCTCTCTCACGCACGCACGGAACCTGAGAGCACAGACCAGCAGACCTCTCCCCCAACACCCCCAGACAAGGACGAGTGCTCAGACGGCCCCAGCCCCTGCTCCCACTCCTGCCACAACGCACCGGGCCGCTTCTCCTGCTCCTGCCCACCCGGCTTCACCCTGGCTTGGGACAACAGGGACTGCAGAGGTGAGTGGGGCGGGGGGTCGCAAGGGTCTCCTCAACCTGAACCGGCAATGAGGTATGAGGTGTGCGCAGGGGCTCCCTGTCGCTCCTGCACAGTGGGCTCCCCAAGCAGACAGGACAGATGTGTTTTTTCGGGGGGGAGGGGGGGTCCATGTGCTCTTGTCATTCATACCCTGGAAGCCTGTATATGCTTCTGACAAGGGCTTGAATGCAGTCATCTCCAATCAATTAGTGTTGGCCCGACAGCTGGCACCCACTTGCCTGCCAGCTTGCCCTACGTGGGCCCCTCAGCCATGCGAGCTGTGTCCTGTTGCTGGCCCCCTGAGCTACATCCCGTCTCTTGGAGAGGCCTAGAACTGTCCTGGGGAACCAGGCACACACCGAAGCGGCAGGCTGTAGCCCTCGGCTCCCTTGGTCTGGCCTCCCAGGCCTCAGAGAGGAGGAGAGGGTGATGGAAAGAGTTAGCAGGAGGGTAGGGACCACTTGGGCTCTCAGGCCCAGGGGACAAAGCTGGGCCAGGGTGGGGGTGTCCCAGAGGGCCTGGGGGACACGCACGCGCCTCTTCCTCTTCGCCCCCAGATGTGGACGAGTGTGCCTGGGATACCCACCTCTGCCAGGAGGGCCAGCGCTGCGTGAACCTGCTTGGGTCCTACCACTGCCTCCCTTACTGCGGGACCGGCTTCCGGGTGGCTGCCAATGGGGCTGACTGTGAAGGTGATAAGCTCAGGCATAGCTTGGGGCCCCTCCATGCCCCTGGGAGCCCAGCACTGTCAGGGTTGAGGAAGGGAGGCTGCCGGTCCCTGGAAGGTCTCCACCCCTCTCGGCAGGGGGCCAGCATGAAAGGGCTGAACTGGGGCCCATGATGTCTGGGTGGTTCTTGCCCAGCCTGACGCCTGACAACTGGAGGGGCCTTTTCCAAGCACTTTCTGCTTATGGGAAGTTTCGCATCTGCTCAATGGCAGGGAGACCGGCTCATGGATGGCAACTGCATGCTGCCTCCCATGTCACGGCCCCTCTATCCCTGTCCACTTTCTGGGTCTCAATCCTTCTCAGCACAGCTTCCTCAGCAACCGTTTCCAGCCCAGATGAGAGCTGGAGGCCACCCCGGACGGATGCTCTCCAGAGTCCTCTCTACTCTGCCATCAGGGGGCCCCTGAGCCTTCCAGGAGTGGACCGGGAAAGCATGGGCACTAAACTTGAGCTCAGAAGATATTCCACCAGGCTATGGATTCCTTGCACTCCAGATGGAGCTCCGCCTGCCTGCCTCCCCCGCTCCTCCCTGCCCCGCCCCTCCACTCTGCTTACCCTCCATTTCTGAGCTCTTCCTGTGTGCCAAGATCCTAAGCCCTTCGCCTGCCTCAAGAGCCAGTCCTCCACTTCTACTCTTTACACATGAGTAAACGGAGACTCAGAAAGAAGCAATTATTTGCTCCAGGGGCTAGAAATGGCAGAGCTCTGACCAGTGTGAAACTGGCACTCTCTGGCTTCAAAGCCCCCCTTTCAGTCCCTTCCTTGCTTCAGGGCCCAGGACCCTCGGAATCTCCAAGCAGGGGCATGGAGTAGGGGTGAGGGGGTAACTGGGAGTGTGGTGGCAAGTGCTGGTGCTTAACCTTGTGTCACTGGCCCCGCAGAAGGGGACCAGGCATGAGGCCCAGATGTGAGGGGGGAGGGGTTCTGAGCCGTCCCCTGCCCACCCCAGATGTGGATGAATGTCTCGAGCAATTGGACGAGTGTCGCTACAACCAGATCTGCGAGAACACTGCCGGCAGCCACCGCTGCAGCTGTCCCCGGGGATACCGGAGCCAGGGCCCACGTCTGCCCTGCCTAGGTATGGGGATGCCTAGAGCCTTGCTGGGGCCCTGGTCAGCACTACTGGCCCAGGGCTAGTGGCTGTTTATCACGCGGCCCTCGCCGGGTCCTGCAAATGACCGCCACCGCTGCCTGGAATCGAGTTGGCCAGTGCTATCACACTGAAACCTCACTTCAGCCCCGGGACCAGGGGACATGGGGGGAGAAGCGAGTGGGCCTCAGAGTGGCGCGGGAGGTAAAATTGACCTAAGGAGGGGCTGTAGGGATGTGGGGCTGAGGGGCGTCAGGGTGGGGTAGTGCTCAGAACTGGGGGGCAGTGTGGGGCCTAGGAGCTGAAGGTGGAGAAGAGCCGGGTGTGGTCCGGGAGGCCCAGGCTTGGAGGATTGGTTTGGTGTAGTGTGTGAGGTGGCTGGGTCCTGGGATGGTGTGAACAGGTGAGCCAGCCAGAACAGAACATGTGCCCAGCCCAGCCCCACCCCACCCTTGCCAGATGTCAACGAGTGCCTGCTGCTGCCCAGCATCTGCGCCTTCCAGTGCCACAACCTCCAGGGCAGCTACCGCTGCCTGTGCCCACCAGGCCAGGCCCTCCTCCGAGATGGCAAGAGCTGCAGCCCACGGGAGCGTGGTGGGCAGAACGTGACCACTGTCAGCCTCCTCCGGGGGCCCTCTGTGCCCTGGCTGTGGTCCCGCACCCTCATTCCCTCTGGCTCCTCCCAAACCTGGGTCTCCCTCCGGCCTGGTCCTATCGCCCTGAACAGTGCGGGCCGGGCCTGGTGTCCGCCCGGCTTCATCAGGCAGAATGGCGTCTGCACAGGTGAGGGTGGGCCCAACCATCTCAAGCTTCTAGTTGAGGTGTGTGGGCTCCAGCAGCATGGTCAGCGGCCCAGGACCCCACGGGCAGGGGGTGCAGATGGTGTTTGATGGTGGCTACATGGTGTTTCTCAAGAGACCCATTTGTCCCAGGGGGTGTCCACGGATGCCTGGGGAAAGGGGGAATTTCATGGCCAAGGAGTTTGGGGAAGGTGGGGCCAGGTAAAGTCGAGGCTGCTTCCTCGCTGCAGACGGGGTGTCTCAGAGACCTGGCTGTGCTGTGCTACTGGGCAAGTGACCTCCAACAGAGAGATGGGATCTCTCCCAAACACGTGACTTCAGACACTTCCCCGGAGGGAGAGTTCCTAGGACCCATTTGGAAAAGCCCTGCCCTTACGGTTCTAAGGGAAAGCGATCCGGAAGGGAGGTTTTCGAGAGTGGTAGAGAAGGCTCCAGGCCTGGTGGGTGCAGGGTGGGGGTGGTCGTGCCCCAGCCCCCCAGGCTGCAGAGAGGGGACAAGAGCAGGTAGCCCCACGAGGGCTGGCAAGCTCCAGCACTCCCACCTGACAGGAGCACGGGGCAGGGAAAGGCAGAACTCCTGCCGTTTGCCAAGCCTACGGAGTCCCCTAGGGTGGAGTAGGGTGGGGACAGGGTGTGGGCTGCCCATGGAAGGGAAATTCCCTGCCTTGGCCCCAGAGTCTGGCGGCCAGGCCTGTGTCCATGTGGGCATGGGTGACTCAGTGTGTCTCTGTCCCTGCCGCCCTGCTTCCACGGCCATGCCCGGGCCAGACCTCGATGAGTGCCAGGTGAGGAGCCTGTGCCAGCACGCCTGCCGGAACACTGAGGGCAGCTACCAGTGCCTCTGCCCGGCCGGCTACCGCCTCCTCCCCAGAGGGAAAAGCTGCCAGGGTGAGTGGGTGCCCCTGGGGGGCGGGCGTCACCCTGCATGCTGGAGGGACAGGGCAGGGCAGGGCTAGGGGCAGGCTGGGGAATCACCCCTTCTGCTCTCCAGACTACTTCTTTCCAGCCATCCTTTTGGGGGGTGGGGTCCAGAGACCACCCCAAACTCCCACAGCCATGTGGTTGCTGGACTGGGCCCTAGGCTCCAAATAAGAACTTTTAGAGAAGAAGTAGACGCGGGCTCGGTAGCTTTCTGGTTACATGCCAGTTCCGCTGTGTGTTCCTGGGCAACTCAGTCTAACTCTCTGAGCCTCAGCCTCTTTGTGTGAAAGGGGCTAGTGCCGTTCTTGCCCCACCCCCTCCCCCAGTGACTGGGATAGAGCTCCTGAGTCTGAGGGCAGAGCAGCTTGCCACAGGCCGCTGCTGGGGGTAGTCAGAATCGTCTCAGCTGCCAGGGCTTGGTCTTTGTGGGGTGCAGGGTGCGTGCGAACTGCCACGTCGGCTAAGCCCAGCCCCACCCCAAAGCTCCAAAGCTGCTTGCCGTCGAGAAAGGAGACGAGCTGGCCAGGTCTCAGTCCCCTAATGTCTGTCCTGAGGGTCGGTGAGCGGAAGGGGGGCTCCGCTGGGGTGGATGAAGGCTGGAGACCGCTCTGCCTGGGGGTAGTGCAGGTTCTCAGTACAAGGACCACACTGGCCTGTCAGGGTAGCCTGCCTCCCCCTGCACTTTGGGAGGACTCCAGGGTGTCCCCCACCCCCTGAGGGCATTCAGAGGGGCTAGATGCTTCTGGGCCTGCCGCTGAGTCTCTCCTTATCCCTCTTGTCTGGCGGCTGCCTTTGGCCCTTCTCTGTCCCTCTCATCTCCCGCCACCACCCCACCCCTCCGCAGACATCAATGAGTGCGAGGAGGAGGGCATTGAGTGTGGGCCCAGCCAGATGTGCTTCAACACCCGAGGCAGCTACCAGTGCGTGGACACACCGTGTCCTGCCACCTACCGGCAGGGCTCCAGCCCCGGGTAAGGACTGAGTCGGCCCTCGGAGGGGGGCCGGACCCTGGCACTGACTCCTTCCTGTGTGACCAGACCCCACCCCCAGGAAGGCCATCAGCCACGCTTGGTGACCGGGTGTCAGGCCCCTGGTGGGCCTTCACGCAGCCATCCTGTGTACCAGCCCTCCTTAATGTGGACAGGGTCCTAGAGAGACTGGGGTTGGGAGCAAATTGGGGCCCCCGGAGAAGAGTACACAGAGACACACAGGACCCGAGTTCAACAACATGCAAGCGCATACAAGACCATGGGATACATACAGATTCATAAAGGCCACCAGGAGTCCGGAGCACACAATCCCGCAATACAGGCATGCAAATACAGCATTTGCAGGCCTAAAGGATGCACACAGACTTGGGGATGGTGGTGGGCAGATATTACAGCAACTGGGAAGGAGGCTTGTCCAGGGTCTGCCAAACCTCAACGGGCAGCAGAGCAAGGCTGGGCACGTGTCTCCCAGCCTGCCCAGAGCCAGCGACTCGACGAGACTGCAGGAGGGAGGTGGTCACCCCGTTGGTCACCTCGCGTCTGTCCCCCTGTCCAACCTGCAGGACCTGCTTCCGACGCTGCTCGCAGGACTGCAGCGCGGGCGGCCCGGCGACACTGCAGTACCGGCTGCTGCCGCTGCCCCTGGGCGTGCGCGCCCACCACGACGTGGCGCGCCTGGCCGCCTTCTCCGAGGCGGGCGTCCCGGTCAACCGCACGGAGCTCAGCGTGCTGGAGCCCGACCCGCGCAGCCCCTTCGCGCTGCGCCCGCTGCGCACCGGCCACGGCGCCGTCTACACCCGCCGCGCGCTCACCCGTGCCGGCCTCTACCGCCTCAAGGTGCGCGCCGCCGCGCCGCGCCACCAGAGCGTCTTCGTCCTGCTCATCGCCGTGTCCCCCTACCCTTACTGAGGGGCCAGCCAGCCCGGCATGGATGGCGAACGAGCGCAGCCCTACCACCTAGGCCAGGCTGCGGACGGGGGCGGGGCGGCCCTGGCCTGGGGGTCGGGGTGGGCAAACGGAAACGTCATCCCCCCACCCCGTGTGTGCGTCAGCGAGCCCTTCAGCAAACAGGACCCTGCCCGCAGCCTTGACCTCAGGACCCAGAGGACCAAGCCCCTGCCCCGCCGCCACACCTACTGGCTGGCCTGGCAGGTGTCAAAGGCTGCCCTTCGGTGACCGAAGCTAAAACCTGGCCCCTCTAGACCTGCCCCCACGCACCAGAGGGAGCTGGCTGGGACCTAACGCACCTGGGTCAGAACCCTGTCTACCAGGACATCTGAGGGGTGGGCTAGACCGTGTGGGGGACGCCGCAGCTGTTGCCTGCCCACTACTGGCACTGTCACCCCAAATCTCGTGTATCAAAACTCTTGTTCCTAACCAGCTTGGGGTTTGTGTCCAGTTATTTGCTTTGGTAATGTGGG